GTAGAGTTTTTTTCCCCCTGTTTTAGTTTAACATTGAGATTATTCGTGTGCAGTGATAACAGTTTCGGCCTGGTTATAAATGTGGAGGGTGGGGCTTTTCAGGTCGGTGGTATGAGTTGTAAATTATTTGGATGCATCCGAAATATTGTATTGTTTGAAGTTGTTTTTTTTTGTGCTTTTCAGGTTCTTAAAGGTGCCCAGGGAAGGTCCGTTGTTGCCGTTGTGAGATTAAGGGAGATTAAGAACAAGATTTACCAGCATTGTTTCGCAAAGGATCGCTTCACAAACGCATTATATGTGAAGGATATTGTTAAGATTCTCGACGGTCCATGCAAGGTGCACTTCTCAAGCCCTTGTTTGTAGTTTTATCTTTTGAGACCTCAATTTTGTGGTAGTTAACGAAAAAAGAAAATATTTTGATTCGAGTCCCAAACTTTAATGCTAATTTGACTTTTTTTGCCCACCATGTTCAAAGGACAACTTTTATACTTAAGTAGGACTGTTATCGAACCGAACTGTTCGCGAACAAAGCTCGTTCGTTTAGTAACCGAATCAAACTCGAAAATGAAATTATGCTCGTTTAGTTATCGAACGAACACGAACAAGTTTGCGAACTAAACGAGCGTTTGCGAACGAAAAAAGGTATTTTATGATTTCATATATTATATATATAGTATATGCATATATAATACAATATATAAATATGGATATATTAAATATTAAATAAAATAACTCGTATGGTATTATAATGAAAAAATAAAAGTCAACAAACATGAACTTGTCGAACAGAGCAAACAAGTTTGACTATATAAAGTATAAACGAACGAAAATGACAGAATTTTTTTGTTCGAATATTAAACGAACGAGATGAACATGTTCCAAAATTAGTCGAACTCGAGCTCGAAAACGTCAAGCTTGGTTCGTTTCGATTCCATTCCATAACAGCCCTGTCCCTAACTCGCATTTTCATATTGTGCGTGAATAGTATGAATCAAAAGTGCAAAAAAAAAAAGTTTTCATATGGGGTTGGGAAGAAATAAATTTTTGTATATTTCGATGTTGATATAATTTGACACAGACTTTACGATTTTGCCGTATGACAGGGGAAACAGGGCAGGATTGAGCATATATACAGAGGAGTCCTGTTTATTTACGACCGCTACCACCATGTACATGGCGGTTATATGTGCGTTAAATCCGAGTCTTGTGTCATGATTGGTGGATCACTCTCCAAAAGTGATATAAATGTACGGACCCAAATCTTTCCTTTTCAAGTTCTTGTTGACCGAGTATTTTTTTATTTCATATTGTTTTTTTTAGTTTTTGCTGTAGTTTCTTCATTGACATATAACTTATAGTACTTTTTTTATTCTAGGGTAACACAACGACCTCAAGAGTTGCGAATTTTAGAACTCCTTCTCGAGTACCACAATATAATGCAGGACCACCTTCCAGAGGTACTCATACGAATCGTTGTAAGTCGCTTTTTGTGGGTTTTCCCTAAATCTGTTTGTTATGCTTGCTATGAAAATTTTTTCATTGTCATAATGATTTTTATTTCCTCGATAGCTGGATTAAGGCATGAGGTCGGAAATAGTCATAATTCTTTAGTGGGAGCTTTTGTGAAAATTCGCCTCGGCAATTATAAGGGATACAAGGGACGTGTGGTGGAGGTTAAAGCTCCTACTGTCCGGGTCGAATTAGAGTCGCAGATGAAAGTTGTCACGGGTAAAAGTTTTCTTTAGTTGGCCAAATAAGTCATTGTCCCTTTTTTCTTTTCCGATCTTTTTTATTTGTTACAAGTCATTATCATTGTTATTTATAACAACGTTATGGTTGCAAATAATCATTTTTCTGCAGTTGATCGCAATCATATTTCAGACAATTTTAACGTCTCTGCACCAATCAGGTACACATTGCCCTACTATTTATATATTTATTGTTATTATTATTTTGGAAGAAAATGGATTTTAAGCGTTTTCCTGATTTGATTTAGATACGATGTGCGAAGTGAAACGCCAATGCAGCCTCCTCGAACTCCATTACGTCAGAATATGACTCCCATGAGAGACTCTAATTGTATGTTTTTTTTTGTTATTGAAGACACTTGGGAAAATTTACAAACACACATGAAAATATAGGAACTTATATGGATTTTTTATTTAAATGCAGCCTATCCACGTCATTATGGGATGAGGACACCAATGCATAACCGAGCTTGGATTCCCTTCACGCCAACGAGGGAAAGTGGTCTTTCTTCTACCTCGGTAAAATAGTGTGTACACACATATTCATTTACATATTCAAGTTTTTAAGACGAACTAACGTTTGTAGTCTTCAGTAAATGGTGGTCCAAGTTCGTACTAGCCATCCTCTACCTGTGCGACTCCAAGTTGTTAGCGCGAAAACTGAGAATTATTGTCTTTTTTTTTTTTTTTGTGAGTTCAGGTGCAGAATTG